TTGGGTGTCGACCTGGAGAAGATGTAGCAGGTGAAGATTATGTGATCGAATTACGAAGAAGAATGGACGATGTACACGAGTTGGTCCGTTCCCATCTCCAGATCGCTAGTGACCGAATGAAGAAACGGTACGATACGCAAGCCGAAAAGGGGTGTTTTCAGAAGAACGACAAAGTCTGGCTCTATAATCCAAAAAGCGAAAAGGCTGTTCTCCCAAGTTGCAACAGTTTTGGGAAGGTCCATATCTCATTATGGAGAAGATCAATGATGTTATTTACCGAATAAGCAAGATTCCGAGAGGAAAGCCGATGATAGTACACCATAACCGGCTGGCGTCTTTCGAGGGTGACCACGACGTAGATGAAGAAGTGGAAGTAAACCAAGTCCAAGATGTGTCTGACCTCACGTTTGAGGAATTTATGGGTACCTATGGAGGTACCGGTAAAGCAAGACATGGTGTTACCACTGAAGAAAGGCAAGATCTACTCGCGCTTCCCGATGACTACTCACTGGCCCTTACCATCCCGGCCAGTATCAAAGACGCACCCGGGTTGGCATCCGTCTTTCGAAGGAAGTTTGGTCGAGTTGCAGAACTTCAATGCCAAGTGCCAGCTACTGGTAAAACCTTGAAACTTCAAGATGCATCACGTTACCTTTTTTACCTGGTAACAAAAGACACTGCCCGTGACCAACCTACCTACCGAGATGTATGGGAAGCCTTACTTCAGTTGAGAGAGCACGTACTAGAGTCCGACGTGCAAAAGTTAGCCATGCCAAAGTTGGAGTGCCGCCAATTAGATTGGAGGGTTATACGAAACATGGTGGAGGAAATCTTTAAAGACACCGAAGTCCAGGTGTTAGTCTGTTGCAATCCGCATAGTTACTGGTGCGGAGAGAAAACCGTCCCTTGTCATTTCTATACAACTGGAAGTTGTAAAAGAGGGTCCAGTTGCCGATATCAGCATGTCGTTCCAGTTCCAGTCCCGACAAGGTTCCAGGAGGAACCATCTTTTAAGAGGGGGGCAATGTTACGATTTTAAATGTTATGGCATATAGAACTGTAAATATTTTATGACTAATTCTTTTTTTATTGATTCTCGTAATTTGTAGGTCAAAATCTACCTGAGCTTCGATACCAGTTGTTTACAGAGTAATCTAGACCCTAATTTTGATGAGTCATCCACGACTCGAGCAGTTAAAAAAAACTAGTTTTAACCGTTGGTCGCCTTCACCAAAATACGAGATCATTCCAGTATTTTCGACAAGGGTCAGGTCAGGTCTAGGCGGTCTTACGGTTCTTTATATAAGGACGAAATTTTATTGAAGGAGTCAGTCATAAGAAGATCGGGGAACGCGGTTTACTTGTAACGAAACGTAAATAAATTATTATTTGTAATGTAAATTAGGATTAATAAAGACTTTAATAAATTCGTAATTAGTTATCGTGAGTTTTAATAAATCAGAATATAGAAAATAAATTAGAATAAAGACAAATAAATCAGAACTACATAAATATACCACACAACATTTATAATTAAAGTTTACGCTCCAATGTGGTTTTTGATCAAAACAAAATCTTTATGCCATTATTTACCCGAAGATTTAAAAAATGTTATTCTCAAAGTAATTAATAGAAACGGATATTTTGGGCACCCTGAAAATATATTACTTTCTATATTGTGGGATGAGCGCAAACATATAAGACATCTAGTTTATTGCAGAATTTTAAAGTATAGGACCGTAAGCGATGGTAAATTAAATATTCGTAGTTTCGCAGATCCAGACTTCAACTTTAAGGCTAAAAACTACTATGAACTTGTAGATTGCCAAACCATCCTATGGACTGAGTCACCCATAACTGCTCTATTGACAGATGCCCAGTTGAAAAAAATAGTAGAGAACCCAGAGAAATCTGAAATTTCCTATATACAAAAGTATCGTTGCCACACACGCCATGTAAAGAGCTGTCAACATGGTAACTGAAGCATATGTTACAGTTTGTGTATATGAAAGACGAGATGGACTTATTAGAAACCAACTGGCTTTAAGATGTATCATGCCGTCATTTGAAACCAAGAAATATTTTAGTTCAAACCTGTAAATATTGTACACATCATCATCATCATCATCAACTAGCCTCTAACGTCCACTGCTGAACATAGGCCTCTCGCATGCTTTTCCAATTAGTCCGATTTTGCGCCATCTGAATCCAATTTGTAGTCACTCTTTTTATGTCATCTGTCCATCTCGTTGGGGGTTGACCTCTATTTCTGTAAGCTTGTATTCGGGGTCTCCATTCCAAAATTCTTTTTGTCCACCGGTCATCAACTGATCTTGCTACATGACCTGCCCAGTTCCACTTTAGTGTTGTTATCCTTTCAATAACGTCTGCTACTCCTGATCTTTTGCGTATAGTAGCATTGGGTATTCTATCACGTAGAGAAATCCCTAACATAATTCTCTCCATTGCTCTTTCCGCAACTTGTAGTTTACTCACTGTTGTTCTTGTGAGCGTTAGGGTTTCTGCGCCGTAGGTCATCACTGGCAAAATACATTGATTAAATACTTTTCTTTTCAGACACATTGGAATCTTAGACCTAAAAATATCCTTCATCCTTCCAAATGCAGCCCAAGCGAGGTTTATTCTTCTTTTCAGCTCGATTGTTTGGTTGTCTCGACTTATTGTACACATACGTTAGTTTAAATTTCTTGTAATAAAAAATAAAAAATAATAAATACTTTGGTCTAGTTTAGTACAGTCGGTTCGCTATATTTACGCGGGTTTCGAATTAATAAAATTATGCTAATGACTCATTGATAATAAGGTTGCATTAAACGACTTCCCAGAAAATTAGGTAAAAACTGCATTAATGGTCATATTTTAAAATACATTAAAATAACATTAGGGTAGGTATAAATTTGTTACAATATTGCAGTTGAATTGATTCTTTGCCAGTGTTGATGCTCTAGGAATTATTGAAACCAAACTAAGAGGAGTATTACAAAATCGCAATAATGAACGGCCGAAAGAAAATCACCGAAAAACTCGCGAGCCAACAAGGAACATGTGACCTTAAATACAATTCTTTCGGAATTAAAAGATAGAAAATTTGACGAAATTGGCAGAACAAGTCTATGGCAAGTGATACATAATTTGGGTTTCAAATTTCAAAAGGAGGATAAGAGAAAAGTGAAAGAAGTTCTGTTGTACATAAAAGAAATAACTTTTTAAGAAAATATTCTAAATTAAAAGAAGAAAGGGCAAATTTTATATATTTAGAAAAAACATGGATATTTTCTAGGGGTGCAACCAAGAGAATATGGCAATATGATAACGTAAAGTCTATCAAACATACTGATGGAGAAGGGAAGCGACACATAATTTTACATGCAGGAGGGAAATCGGGTTTTATAGAAGGTGCTGATATAATATTTTCATCTAAATCAAAATCAAGTGACTATCACGATAATATGAACACAGAAATGTTTGTAAAATGGTTACATGAAAACTTCTCCCAGGTTTAAGTCAGCACAGCGTAATTATTTTAGACAATGCACCTTGCCATTCTGAAGTATTAAACAAAAGTCCAACGAATCCTTGGACTGTTATTAAAATTAAAGAATGGTTGACAAAGGAACATATACCATTTACACAACATATTTTAAAATCAGAATTATTACGCTTGGCAAATATCCACGCAAAACCAAAAACCTTTGTTGTGGATCAGATTATTGAAAGTTACGGTCATCAAGTTTTACGTCTGCCACCGTATCATTGCCAGTAATCCCATCGAATATATATGGGAAATAGCAAAACAATATTATGACAACCATATTGGGCCTAACGGTTATAGCGACGACGCAGCTCGGGAAACTTGGCGAAAGGCACTTTCAATTGTAACTCCAGAAGTGTGGTGCAACTGTTTTATTCAAATGCGAGAAACTAATAGAAGATTGGTGGATTCGTGAAAATAAAATAAACGAAATAAGTCCAATCATAATAACAATTAATGGTGATGACAGTGATGATGATGATGATTATGATATTTTTGATGATAATGACTGATTTTCATTATTGTTGGAAAGTTATTTTTTTTTTATTTTTCATTAGAAATTCTCTCCATGAAACAAATATACATAGACCATATTTTCTGTGTGAAGTGTAATATAAAATTATTATTAGGTTTATATTAGCCACATTAGACTACATTAATGAAGTAATTCTCCTTATTATACTGTCAATTATATAAAAGATTTTCCATTATTATTTAATTAAAAAAAGGTATGGATTATTTTTCATTTCATTTGACCAGTTGATATTTTCCCAAAAAACAGGTAATTAAAACTGGGTAGTTACAATAAAATTTTTAATCCGAAACCCGCGTAAATATAGCGAACCGACTTTATTTTAATTTATTGAGGACTGGAATTGTTGTGAATATTAGTGGAGGGTATCAAAAATCACTAAAAAAGGAAAAATTGTTGGATACAAAGGAAATGTTTTTAAAAGAATTTAACATCACTTTAAAATAAATTATTTTTCCCAATTACTAGGGTTCAGGAATCATTTTCCAAAAAAATTTATTAAAAAAATTTCGTGGCGATGGAGGGGATAATATCAAAACAAAATAAAAAACCCAAAAAATGTCTATATTCGAAATTACAACTTTCCGGCAGTTAAAAGTCCTGATTTTCTGGATTTCCTAAAAAAATTTACATATATACCGACGCCTGGTTGCGATGGAGGGGATGCCGGCAAAATAAACAAAAAACATGAAAAAATTCTATGTTCTAAATTACAACTTTCCTGTAGTCAGGCGTCCTCATTTTCCTAAAAAAAAATTTACATATATACCGATGCTCAAATGCAATTTAGAAATTCGGCCTCATATAGAAATCAAGCCAAACAAACTTATGACAAAAGGATATAAAATACCACTATTTAATTAAGATAAACACTTTTTTGATTTTTTTTTTTTAATTTAACTTTGTTTTTTGTAGATTTGCTAAAAAAATCCGAAGAGCCCAAGATTCTTTTCACATCATCAATATTATCATTTTCGCATGAATTATTAGGCAAAAATGTAACAGAGGATAACATTATTATATCAAATAGGCTTACAACTTATTTTACATCAAAATTTTGTACGGTTGTAGCTTCTGATATTTTTGCGAAAAAACTACGTAAGCATAACATCAAGTGTAACAGTTACCATCCTGGGGCAGTCAAGACTAATATTTTTAATGAGTCACGAAAATATATGACTTTAAATGTAGTAGATGTTATAACCACCTTTCTTGGTGATTTAATGATTTTTGTATCTGGACAGGTAAGGAGAGAATTTTTGATTATTTTTTTATTATCCAGGGTGTAAAAGTATGAGTTATCCTGAAATATTCAAGAATATTCAATAGTCTTCCGGGTTGAACCGCGTCGATTATCATTTCGCTAAGCTTTCTACATCCTTTTCGATGTCTTCTTTAGGGCTTCCGAGTTCTCAGACCCTGAGCCCCCAGATACTACTACACTGATCACTAATCAATGCACTAAATAGTAATTAAATTAAATATAATATAGAATTTAGCCATCATATACATTTCAACATTATCTATATAATTATGTATAATTGTTTATAAATAAGTATAATTTTTTATGATTTTATTTAATTATATTTAATTTTTCATGAATTTTTATAAATTTTGTACAACTTTTTATAGTTTTCTATAATTGTTTACAATTTTTTATTATTTTTTATAATTTTTTATAATTAATGTTTTAACCATTTTATGTCTGCGTGATTTTTCAGATCATCTATCCATTTCATTTGCTGATTTTTAATATTATTGTTCCATGGTTTCCAGTGTATAAGTATCTGTAAAACAGTTATTTGTAGGTTAATAAGAAACTAATAGATTCACGCGAATAGATTCGTTTATTTTAATGACTCAAAGTATAGGTATATAAATTTTGAATGTTTCCCTTTGAATATCGATAGAATTCTAGAATTCTACCTGAATGAGTACATAGAACCCTTGTCTCCAATCGACCTTAAATTTAAAAATAGATTTCGTTGAAGGAATGATAGAGCACTGTTCCTGAAAATATTTACAAATCATAGGATGGCGATTCTAACAATAGATATCCTAGCAAGGTAAGTGAAAATGTACGAGTATACTAGAGGTGTGCTTATTAGTTCTTTTAGACAAACTAGTTCAAGAGAACTATTTCACAAAAATGAACTAGTTCAGTGAACTAGTTCGCGAAAGAACTATTTGTAGAACCGAAATCGAAATCCAACCCTAACATAACTGGTTGCCAGATATCTCATCTCAATCATCAGTCATCACACAAGCTCGGCGCCGGCCGTACGTTTTCTTCGGTTTTCAGTCAGTCTTTCACTAGTTCACTACCGTACAAGTAGTTCGGAACTATTTCTTTCGATCATATGTTTAGGTTTAAATGGTTTAAATTATTATATGATTAGTTAGTTTTTATTTGGAAAAAATTATTAAGATTTGTTTTTTATTGACCGTTTTAAATATAAATATGGTTCACATATGATTTATTTTTATATTTACGTATATTTAAACTCATAGGTATTTATAATTAGGTTATTTCTAAAAGAACCTTTACAAAAAAAAGTCAGTGAATTTTCTAGGAACATTAAATAACAAATTTTCATTCTCACTTTTACATAAAATTATATTTTATGTAAATGCCTCAATCCACAACTAAACTACTAACTTTTAACCAACTAACTTTTAACCACAACTTAAATTTTTATTTCAAAATTACAATACAAGAAACAACACAGCATGGCAACATCCAAGCCAATACATGGGCATATGATCCGAACCATTATGACATTAAGATAAGACTTTATGTTATTGTCACATTCATAAGAATTATGAATCGGTTATCTGAGGCTAATCAGCTTTTCTTTAAACTAGTTAGTCCATCCATTCACAAAATAATAAATATATGTTCTCATTCATTCATTCATTATTTTCTTCTTTAGAAGTTGAGACACAATTTATAATGCAAATCGTTCGCAGTGAACTAGTGCTATGAAAATAATGAACTAGTTCAATTAGTTCAGTTGAAAGAATCGTTCATTTGAACTATTTCGATGGTGAACTACACATCCCTAGAGTATACTGTTTTGAAATATTAAACTAAAACGATTATAAAAAGAGAAATTTGGCAATAAACAGGGGGGATAGACAATCACCTGAATCAATATAAAGTTGAATGTTCGAATAATTAAACTTTGATAGTATACAAAGCAACTATCGAACACAGTGATTAATTAAATCTTGCCCAAGTACTTTCGATCAATAGATCATCTTCAGGGGCATTTCGTCAGTTGTGGCCTACCCGACATGAGTAGAATGTCATAAATGTAAAATTGGACATAACAATACAATACACAAAGACAAACAAACACTTTAAAATTTTTAAAAGGAGAAGCTACATGTTATATAGAAACCGGAGAGAGAATGACATTCTGTATACTTGTATAGTCTGCGACAAAGTTTTTTTATTTTACTTATGTTTTAAGTTACTGTGTGTTAAAGAAATATCGTATTACAATAGATTTGACTTTTTAAATAATTATAAGTATAATTTTAAGTATTTTAAATTATAAACATGGATTTTCATTCAAAATTAGAAGGCAAAGTCTTGTCTGGACAAACGAGGGAGTAATAGCAAATGTAATTATTTTTATGCACAAAGAAGCGATGCAAAATCCGCATGTTAATAGTATATTACATAACGTGAGTTGTAAGAAGCTTATTACATCCGAGTAAAAAAGTGGCGCGCGAACCGCGTAGCGGCGAGCGCAGTAATTTTACAAGCATGTAATAAGCTTACAACTTAAGTTGTGTACTATACTTTGTCTACGATTATTTTCGTTTATAAAAATAAAAATTAAATTACCACTATATTTACACTGACAGATTAATAATTAAAAAAAAAGAGTCTTTGTAAATGGGTATATTTATTTATAAACCCTTAAAAGGCCTACATCAATAAAACAAACGTTTTCGGACCACACAGTCCATCATCAGGTTTTAAAATCGAAAAATGCTAGGTCACAATGCCTGAGCCACCAAAATACTAGGGTAAAAACCCTTTAAATTACATTTAGTTATAAAAGATTGTACATTGTGTTCTAAAATAACTGTGATGTTCAGTATTAAATTAAATTTGGCTAGAGGTAACACATGGCTGAAGCGAGTTCCAGAGCCGGTGAGAGAGAACCTCTACACGCGGAGAACAGCTGGGAACTAGAAGGAAATCTAGAAGGATTTTTCGTAGATCTTCAGTCTTAGTGAGAAGTCCTTCGGAAGCCAAAAAGAGTTTTACGCTTGTGTTAGTAAATCCTTCATAACACACTGAAGCAGGTTGGTCGTGTAGAAAAACAAGATGTAGTGTAATGGCTTTCAAGATATTCGGTTCCGTTATTCTTGCTAGAAGATATTGACTGTTCGAGTTATTGGTTAATCTAACTCTTGGTGTGGTCAAAGGATCCAGATTTACCGATGGTTTCAAACTATCCTTAATGTAGTCGATATGAGAATGGAAAGCATTCTTCAATTTGCAAATTTCGATGGCCTGCTTGTTTATGACTTTTCTTGTATTTTTTACTTCACTTTTGTTGTTGCTTAAAATGGTAATTGGATTTCCCAAGCTAACGATGCTTCTGATGTTCTTCGGACTCATATTTGACTCAGATGAGGGCATTGGTTCTAAATATGAAGATTCTGTAGACCATTCAATGTTTACACCAGGTGGGCAAATTTCCTTAGTAAATAATAAATCAATGGAGGTTTTAGATTTTATGCCTATTTTGAATGAGAAACCACTCACTGTGTCGGAATCTTGAAGGAGGGCATAACATCTAATATATTCCTTGATACGCAGCTTCTCTTTAATAAAGTGAACAACTTGTATAGAGGTGTAAATTGGGGTTAAGTTGGTAACAACAACATAATGGCATTAATCTTTTGTCATTTTTGGCTTTTTCTCTAATGATTCTAAATGTTGAAGGAATTCAGTTTGGGTACCTGAGGTGACATGAAATGTATTTTTCTTCAATACTTCTTTTTTCGTTTGTATATTATATAATATGTTGAAAAGAATACCCATTTTATTAGATATTTGTAATCCCCATCTTAATCCCAGTTGAATTTGAGTCTTGGATTTGAACCTTGATAGTGTCATCATAACAGCCGAAAAACACTGACGATATATTGAAAATATCTTGTTCCATAAAACAAAATAATAATTTAATATCTAATTAATATTTTAAACTATGGTATACAGCCAACCAAGGGAATTTTTTCATTTTGAGTATTGTATATACGTGGATATATGTTGCACATTTGTTTACCTGTCGGTATTGATAAGAACGAGGACATTATTAATGTATTTTATGTATTTTAAAACGAATGTTACATTTAAAAAAAAGTTGTATTATCAGACGGCAAGTTTTATTAAAAAACTGTTTAAAGATTTGTAGCGACAAGGACAAAAAACATTAATAGAAAATTTCCGCGATCGTTGTAAATGGTTATGTTCGTAAGTAAAATAATAATACTAATTGATAGTGATAAGAAAAGGAAAATATTATTATTACTACAATTTTAAAAAGTTGCGAAATAATTTTTGGTATTTGTATTGTATTTCTTACTCAGTCGTTGATGTCCTCCACCTTGCATCCACGTCGTATATCTGTACTTTTAGCTCTGTCCCATAGTGTTTTACCATCCATTTTTGCCATCAATTTTACCATCAAAAGTGATTTTATCTCTGCTCTTTTTAACATTTTTTTCCTCTCTGTGTCATGTCGTCTTTTTACCACGTATGTCATTATTGGTCTGAGTGTTTTTACCTCTACTCTTTAAAACATGATTTTTGTCCTTTATGTACCATATCGTGTTTCGTATGTCATTATTGGTTTGAAGACTGATTTGTGAATTTTGCCTTTCATTTCTTTCCCGATATTTTCATTTCTCTATATTGTTTCATTTAGGCAACCTGCGGCTCTGTTTGCTTTGTATTCACTTGATCCTCTACTTCTGTTTCGAGCTGTTTGTAGGTAAATAATGAGATGCCTAGATATTTAAACTCCATCACTTCTTTTAGTACTCGCTTCGGCGGTACATATACTAAAATTGAAACCATACAGAGAAGATTAGCATGGCCACTGCGCAAGGATGACACGCAAGCTTACTAAATACAGACGATCTAACAAAAGGTTACTGGACTCATAAAAATTTACCAACCCTTTGCACGGCCTTTAGAGCCATGTGTAACAATAAG